GACCACCTTCTGCTGTATCTTTGTCATTTTTCCTTGCAGCCAATAAAAGGCTCTACAGGGCCGGAGTGACGCGCAGCTGTGCAGCTGCTTCAGCCGTCACTCTGAACAGTCCGGCTCTTATGAATTAAAAGAGAAATAATCACGTCCTTCTGCATGTTAATAATGTGCTTTCATTTTTTAATACATTTGTAAATTCACCGACTATTTAACCAAACCACCAAAATCCACCCTTGTTTTGGCTCCATCAGTCATGGATCATATATCGTGTGATTTCACTGAAGTGCGAGCCTCGACGTGATGGCTTCATCAAATTGTTTATGGATGAACTTTAACATAACTGTGATCATTCGTCTTTGTTTCCTCACATCTCTCTCTCCCAGTTAACCGCTCACCTTTTTTAACAGGGAAACAGTTAAGCAAGAGAGCCCAAAAAGAAACCGCTGTGTCCGAAAACACTATATGCAAGTATCCAGTGTCACTGAATCCCTTCGCGCCTCCTTTGCTAGTATTTCCTGCCCAGCTTGTAGCACAGATGGATGCTTAACACTGTAGAGATCCAGAGACGCGAGTGAAGCTGCTGTTTCTTCTGTTACTAAGTGTCTTCATAGAGCTGACTTAGCGTTTGTAGATGTCACAGGCTCGACATACATCTGTAAAACTCTTGATATTAGTGGTATTTTATTATTTAACAGCCTAACAAACTAACTTTAGCGTCCTAGCCCAGATAAAAAATGCCACATTAAACAAAGCTGCAGATCTTTGAAGGCAGTCTGAATACAGCTGGCCATTTCAAACCTGCTTCAGGCTAATGATCCGCTTCCAAACGGTCATTTTAGATAACCAGCTCGTGTGCAGCGTATCAGTCTGCACACGCTCTGTTATCAGATTGTCATTTCTGTTGAGCGTCTCGTGGCTGAGAAATTGGATTTGATTAGACGATGATCTCTTGGAAGCAAGCGGTCTTTTCCAAAACCATGTAAAAATGCCTCTCCGCTACCTGCTGTAACCCGGTGTTAGCTGCACCTCAGTGTACAGTTGCATTTATAATCAGCTCAGCTGCACCGATGCGTGCGTGCCAGGACACCCAGAGTGTTTGGCCTGTCTGTCAAATCTAAGAGCGAGTAATTACAGCTGCAGCTTCCTCCTGCGAGTGGCGGATGCCGCCCTGCCGGCAAACGTAGCTTGCTTTCTCATCCAGCGACAATTGCTCAGGTTCCTCCTATGCTCATTAAATACGTCTCCTCTGTAGGTGATGTTGTTGCTGTTAGATGGTGAAAGGAGAGGAGGGGACGTTTGATACTGACTAACTGATTTATTTCCTTCCAAAGGGAAGACGAGAGGCGCCTTTTCTTTGCCCAAAGGAGCTCGAAATGTGTTTGTAAATGAAACAGAGGACTCTCGAAATGTACTCGGTGAGTCACGGTAGGTTTGCAGGAGGCAGACATCCCTGACAGACAACTTTGCTGGTCTGTAGTTTGAAAAGCTTTTTACCTCCTTCCTTATTGAAACACGGCCGAAGGCTCCCTTCATATACATCCTGTTTGCACAGAGCCAGCGTGAATTAAAGGACGATGGGCTTCCTTTTAGAGACTTTCTTATTTGATAACCAAATAGACGCGAGTAAACCTTCAGGGCCTGTTTCAATAGAAGCTTTTTACGTTGAGGAGGAAAGCCAACCAAGCGTTTTCTTCTTTCTTTAACTTCTTCAAACATCCTTGTAGAGCAAAGTGAATGAAATGTCTGGAACATGCGGGATGTCAGCCTCAGCAAACCGAACAGATTATCCTTGTATCTGCTTAATGTACCGTTTCTGTCTTATCTTTCCTAACCCCCCCGTCCTGCTTCTGCTGATGCTGCAAACTTGGCAAAGGTTACCTTAAGATGTTTCTCATTCCTCCTGGAGCTAGACATGTGATCATCCAAGAACATGAGGCGTCCCCTCACATTCTTGGTAAGTGTGATTTTCAGAGATGAACACATGTATGAAATCTTAAAAAGCTCTTTGCCATCCTCCTCATGTCTCCTCAGAAGACCGATGGGAAGATATTGTGTGAAATCATAGATTTTGCATAATTCATTTCTTGTCACCTCCCAGGTTGAGGAAAATGAATCTTCTCATTTGCGTTCATTATTAATCGTCTGCTAGACGAGCGTGCTCTTTCTTTTCTGCAAAATAGGTTTTTCTTTATTTAGTTGAATTTCCAATAACAACCAAGGACATGTAGAATTAATCAGCCAGGAATGAGCCATAAAGACGTGGCTTGTTATAGGATAAGTTTATTCATAAATGGTTAAAATAACCTCCACAGATGGGATTGTGTAGTTATTCTTAGTGCAAGCTAAATACAATTAATACCTGAATTTAATTTAAAGGTCATGTCCTTGTGCACCTTCGGACTGCTTCCTGCGCTGCTGCTATTTTTAGACGTTCTGTGTGTCTGTGATTCATCCTGGAGCTCAAACCTGAGCAAAGACAAACATCAACCTCTGATGTCAAGAACAACCCAACGACACAAAAGCAGAAGTGAGGTGACGAGTCCGTCAGGAGTGCAACCAGCAGGAAACACGATCAATGTAGTCGCTGGTTTGATTCCCTCCAACTTTAGAAAATTTCACAAAAAACAAAAAAAGGGAAACGTTTGTCCCACTGGAGGAGGCTCTTTGTGTATTCTAGACACACACATGTGAGTTTATAAGTTTGCTAATAACAGCAACTTTAATGAAAACAGTGAAGAACTTTGTCACAATCAGCAGGGCTGAAACAGGAACGTGGACTTGACATGAGGAAACTTGACGCAACTTCTCGGCTTGCAAACAAAGCAGACGATCTGACAATGACACTGAAAACAGAGGACTTAAATACACAGGAGGTGATCAGGGGAAGTGGGAACACATGGAGGAACAGCTGACTGACATGAGCCTAATGACAGGAAGGGAAGTGAAACTAAATACAATGAACAAAGAACACACGACTCCTTCAAAATAAAACAGGAAACACTGAAACTAGACATGGCAACACGAGCTTAACAGACCTAACACGTGATGAACGATACAAGAACTCAAACATAGAAACCAAGGAAACAATAAATAATAACTGCCTTTCCTTAACTAAAGCTAAATAGGAATGACACATAAACTAATCACAAATCTAAAATGAGACAAATACAAAATGAACTCAGAGCGCTGGGTTAGAGACCCAGCCTGTGACAAACTTTATGGTTACGTGTGAAATTATAATCTTTAATCCTCGTGCAATACGCGTCTGTCAGTCGAATGATCACATAATGTGTCAACTTTTTCTGATGGAGTAGATGATCGATCCTTGGTTTTTGTCTTTGTATTGAAAGGTCAATTTACTGTAAGTGGAAAAAGCACGATTTCTACCTTTAAAATGCCAGTTAGTCAAGTCGCATGTTGGGTCTGGTAGAACAGTTAGTGAGAGTGATGACTAAACCAAAGGATCCTGTTTCAGAGTCAGACTGAGTTTATGTGCCGCTAGAAGACAGTAAATATGCCAAAAATTAACAAGAAAACGACCTCAAAGTGGTTAAAAAAGGCTCCAAATGTCAGTATTTGTAGTCTAACTCGAGGACAAGCAGCAAAAATATTAAGAGTTACACTCTTAAAAAAAATAAAGAAAAAAAACTGAAAGTAGTGAATAAACATGTAAGTTCATAAAACACGTCATAAAAGCAGAAACAATATTTTCCTCTTTTCAAAAGGAGCAAAAAGCACCTGCTCAGTAAAACGAGTGGGAGGAGGAGAGGATGATTTATTTAGTGTGAGGTGATACAGGTCAGCATCGCTCTCCTCAGCCAGCGGCACTATTTCCTCAAAGAGCTCTTTGAGGTTAATATTTACACTGACAATTATTTAACTGAATCTAGTGAAACCTGTAAAAGAAGACAAAGAAGATGAATGCAAGCACAAAAACACCGAAACAAACAGCAACAACACTTCTGTGTGGAATGAAAAGGTGATAGAAATTATAGAAATAATTTGTGCATCTTTAAAAAGAGCCTGGCTGATATTTGTACAGCTTGTTTCCAAAAATATTAAAATGTAAACAAAATTAGAGCTGTTCTCAGGATTAGTCTGGACCTGAAATTAGGGCTGCCACGATTAGTCGACTAGTCATGATTACGTCGACTATCAAAATCGTCGACGACTGATTTAATAGTCGACGCGTCGTTTGAAGCTTTGTAAGATC